AATATGTATACTAGTTCAGTGATAATGGACGTCATACTAAACTCCAAATTATACACAAGAAACTAAAATTAAAAATGATACAAGACTAACAAAGGCCAGAGGCTCCTGACTTGGGACAGGCGCAAACATGCGGCGGGGTTAAACGTGTGTTTTTTGAGATCTCAACCCTCCCCCTATACCTCTAGCCAATGAAGAAAAAACAAACGTACAACAGTACGCACAGTAAAATTCAGTTTAAGAGAAGTTCGAGTCCGATGTCAGAATAGGAAACAAAAGAAAATAAACAAAATGACAATAATACATAAATAACAACAGACTACTAGCAGTTACTGACATGCCAGCTCCAGACCTCAATTAAACTGATTGAAAGATTATGTCTTTATCATATGAATATCAGGCACAATCCCTCCTGTTAGGGGTTTAGTATTATAATATCATAAAATATATGAGAAGAACATTACCCGTGTCATGCCAACAACTGGTTTTAGAATAAATATGTTTAATTCCGATGCAAAGACCCTATAAGTGAATCAATATTAAAACCAAAATATGCAATCTGTAATGACCTGACAACAGTATCGTTACTATATCTCTTCTTAATAAGTCTGTTTAAAGATTTTGTTAGCTTTTGAGGTGAATACTGACAATATTGTGCTTTGTAAAGAATATTACCATAAAAGATTGGATGTGAAATACCCGAACGTATAGGATGTCTGCATGTTGAGTTATATTTACGAATGATGTCCTTATACCGATGATAAAATTTAGTAAATGTTTTGACTAGTTTATGATATCGAAAACCCTGGTGTAATAGTTTTTCAGTAATACATAAATTTCTCTCGCTAAAATCTAATACGTTGTTTCATACACGAGCGAATCGTACAAGTTGAGATAAATAAACACCATAAGATGTTGACAAGGGAACGTCACCATCTAAAAATTGATATATTAACGATAGGAAATAAAAAATCATCTCTTTTATCATAATTTTTTGTATTATTCTTCCCGTTAATAATATAGATATCAAGATCGAGGATAGGACAGTGGTCACTGTTAGTATTAGCTTTATTTAAAGTAAGTTCAACAGGATAAATTTCTTTAGAATACATACTGAAGTCGTCATTATTGAGAGCCAATATATCATCCAAATATCTAAAAGTATTGTTAAATTTTTGTATCAGATGTTGTTTCGATGGGTCTTTGATGATTTTAGTCATAAATTATAACTCATAACAATACAAAAACAGTTAGCAATAAGTGTTGCACAGTAAGTCCCCATTGGAATTCCGGTAACTTGACGATATACGGAATCTCCAAAGCGAACAAAAATGTTATCAAGTAAAAATTCAAGGGCAGATATAGTATCAAAGCATGTCCAATTGACATAGCTCTTTTGTTTGTTGCTACTAAAAAATGACCTAAAAGAGTTTGAACATATGTATTAGCATTCCGACTTTTTAAATGCCCATTTAATTAGGTGTGTGAATTTTTCCTTAATAAGAATATGAGGCAAAATGGTATATAGGGTAGAAAAATCAAAACTTTGAACAGATTCAAAATCACCAATATATGCATGCAATTTATCAAGTACTTCCAACGAGTTTTTGACACTCCAAAAGTAATTAATTCCACTATTTTCAAAGGCCTTATTTGAACAATTTATTATCAGGTTTTTGATTGTACCAAGTGTACTAGTAAGTAGAATAGACAATTTAGCAGTGGAACAATGACTTGAAGACGAAATAAATCTATATTTGTAAGGTGATTTGTGTAGGTTCGGAAGCCAGTACATAGTTGGGACTTTCATTGTATTTGGTTCTGCTTGTAAAGAAGTAGCTTATAGTTTATGTTTGTTACAGATATCGTTTTCTGAAAATGAAGTCAGTTGGAATGTTGGTGAATTCGTGATTTCCTTTTGCAGAACCTCAAATGTAACATTTACGTCAAACTATAATGATATTATTAGCAGCTTTTTCAACCGGGACAAAAACAAATTCCTTGGCTAATTCTTTTAGTTTATGTTTGATACGAGAAATAGGATTTTCATGGTTGTTGTTAAGAGTAAAATGTTCTTTAAAATATTGTATACGTATACCAACTATCTTCATTACTGAATTAAAAAAAGAGTCCAAAGATTTTTTGTCAGCTTTTTCCCGTTTTATCCATTTCAAACACTCATTACGACACTCATTCCAGTTTTAGATGTAAGTTAAGATAAAAGGCAGACCTTCTGTATCTGTTGTATCAAAAACTTTGAAATATTTAGTTGGAGGACAGAAATAAAAGCTAAGAAAAGAGTTTTTAAGAGACGTTAAATATGATTGTATGACTACCAATCCCTGGGGTTTTCACCAGTCCAGTAGCCACTACTTTGGAATTGACAGGAAATACGGATTTTGTTTGATTTGAATTTGCTGTAATCCTTTATGTTGTGTCATCTGTACTATTATTTGTCTGTTTGTCTTTTTATTTTTGGCCATGGCGTTGTCAGTTTGTTTTCGATCTATGAGTTTGACTGTCCCTCTGGTATCTTTTGTCCCTCTTTTTTAATACCTATACTTTCGCATTGCCCAAGATCATGTTTTTCCCTGACTGCTCAATACGTCTTTACGCTAAATCCATTGGATGTTGAATGTATACTCGATATTTTATTCTTATATACATGATTTTTTTATTAGTTGTTATTGCCTTTGAACTATCTTTCAGCATCTGCGAGTACTCTAAGAAACGTACTTTGTGTCTTTATGTTATTAATAGTTGTTTTTGTTGCTTTGCACGTGTATCAATCTAATTGGTTTAGTCCTTTTTTAATTGATTCCTATCTTTTGTTCTTGTTGTGCTGTTATACCACTGTCCCAGGTTACGGCAGGTTTAGGCCCCTGCAAAAATGTTTTATGTCGGAACATTTGGTTTGTCAGCCTGTTACTCAGTTGTTATCGTTTGTTACAATAAATTATATGTGTCTTGTACATAAATCAGGTTATTAGTTGTCTCGTTTGATTAACATTTGACATTTTGGGGTATTTTATAGCTTGTTATGCGGCATGGGTTTTGCTTATTGTTTAAGACCGTTCAGTGCTCTTTAGTTGTGAATTTCTACGTCATTTTATATTTGTCGGAGATTTGTTTCATTGTCAATCATACCACATCTTCTTATTTTAATGTACGTACATATGATTATGATTGACCTCTTTAAACATTGCTTTGAAGTTTGCCATCATTGTTTATATGTAATTATCAAGACATTATATCTTTTGCCTTCATTTGGTTCATGTGGCCCAAAATGAGTTAATTAAAATTCATGGCCTGTTGCTTCAGAAACTACAAATGGCTATTGCCGTTTTCCATTCATTTATTTTTGCCATATCAGAATTACCTCTGACCAGAATTTAAACCAAAGATGATATGTACGTATTCTTGTCAAACAATAAGATTTTAGTTGAAATTCCGAAAGCGGTTCTCGAAAGTCTATTTTATGTAAAGATACGTGAAATCAATATAACCCCGTTTCCTGCATTAGTTATTGATAAAAAAAAATACACAAATAAATGGATTATGGTTTTTGTGAACATTCTTTAAATTTGAAATTAATTATATTTTATATGGAGTTGAACCGGATGATGTGGTAGGGGAGGAGTCCTGCTACACAATTATAATCCGATGTTTACTTGACGGAAAGTAAATGAAAAATTGGCTTTGTTTGTATGTCTCTTTTTTATTTTATTTCTTTTTAAGTATTATTAACACCGAATAAAAGGAGGATCAAATTTTGGCTTCGTCAAGTGTCTGACATTTTAAGCAATACTGTATAAGACTTATGACCCATTGGGATGACTCGCAAAATTTCACTCAGCTCTCACATCTTGAATTTAATTTGATAATGTTATTGGGAAAAGATTTGATAGCATTTAGATATTCATCACCGAGTTCGATGGATTCCAAATTGCCCATTCTTGTAGTTTTCTGTGAAATCTTTTGTTAACATCTGTTTTAGTCTTCCTCTTCTTTTTATGGTCTTATTTTGTTAATCAGGTTTATGGTTGTCCTTAACCGACTTTGCGGTATTTAATGATTCCGTTTACCGCCAAAGACATTATATGATTAACCTCTAACAAGATGTATACATGTCGGACATGTGTTGAATTTTGCCGAGATGATGTACAATTTCAGTTATTAGTTCAATTACCTCACGACTGAACCTTGATAAATTATCACCGTAAATGTTATAAGATGCAGTTATAATGGGCGTTTGCCTCAATTGAAAAAAGTAACTTAACAATTGAATTAATTTATACATTATTAGGCAATTCATTTGATTCTGTTAAATGTAATTCTATTACATAGGAAAAATTGCAACATATGTTTTCATATGTTTAACATATGTTTTTCATATGTTTGAAAACATATGTAAACATATGTTTAGGCCCGACATGAAAACATATGTTTTCGAACATATGAAAAACATATGGAAAACATATGAAAAACATATGTTTTTAAAATCATATGAAAAACATATGTTTTTCATACATGTAAACATATGAAAAACATATGTTTTTCATACATGTAAACATATGAAAAACATATGTTTTTTACAAACATATGTTTTTCATATGTTTTCATACCTGGCCTAAACATATGTTTTCATATGTTTGGCCCAAACATATGTTTTCATATGATTTTATCTTGATCCTAAATATATATTTTTTATATGTTTTTAATTGTTCAAATGCATTTATTTTTTCATAGATTCTAAACATGGTTTGTATATATGTGTATTTTTTTTTTTGCGATAGGTTTTTAAGGGTAACGTTTTGATGTTTTTTAATATGTTTTTCTTTAATTTGTTATCTTTTTTTTCTGACAGGAACTCATTTTGAGTGTGAATACTTCATTATGATGAGTTGTTGCTTTAAAAAGTAAAAAACCCAAAATACCAAATTCCACAGAAAATACATAGCAAAATCAAAAGCTCAAACAAATAAAAAACAATAAGTGCTCAATAATGTTTATATAAAGTAGAATTTTTTTTATTAAGTTGTTGTCTCTTCTATTTTCATATTTTTGTCTCCTTGACATACATTGTACCACATTTCTATTGTCTATATTCTATTTTCATTTGTTTGTCTCTTCGACATACCCCATTTCTATTGTCTATATTCTATTTTCATATGTGTGTCTCTTTGACATACCCCATTTCTTTTGTCTATATTCTATTTTCATGTTTGTCTCTTTGACATACCCCAATTTTATTGTCTATATTCTATTTTCATATGTGTGTCTCTTTGACATACTCCATTTCTATTGTCTATATTCTATTTTCATATTTTTGTCTCTTTGACATACTCCATTTCTATTGTCTATATTCTATTTTCCTATGATGTATGTGATATTTCTATTGCTATACCTCCATACACAGATATTTAATTGTCTTCACTGCTGTATATTACTGGTGCATGTGTATGCAGCTGCTTTTTGTAAATATCCTGTATGATTAAGAAAGACAACTAGATTGACTTTGAGCTCAATATTGTATTAATTAAAAATGAATGTTCTTTGGTTCTGTTTCTTTACTTTTCAGTTCCTGCAAGTAGAAATAAAAGAACAAAGTTTCAATGTCCACCTAGTCGCAAATTTTTAGCTCACATGGCCCCAAGGTACGTCGTCGTCCATCGTCGTCGTTAACTTTTTACATTTTTGACTTCTTTTTGAGAACCACTGAATGGAATGGAACCAAATATGGCATGAATGTTCCTCATGAGGTGCTGACCAAGTGTTGTTACTTTGTAGCCGATCCATCATCCAAGACGGCCACCAGCGGGGGGCTTAGTTTAACAAAGGACCCTACGGGAAATACATACAAATGTCTTCTTTTAGAGAACCACTGAATGGAATGAAAGCAAACATAGCAATATTAATCCAAATTTGGCCTCAAACATTATTATAAGTATCTGTTATGATTTTTATCTTTTTTTATATGATTTCAAAAACCCAAGTAGTCAGGTGAGCGACACAGGCTCTTGAGAGCCTCTAGTTTATCTATCAAGGGGCAATATTAACATGATTAAAAAAAACCAACATGTTTTTTTGTTCTCAAAAATATTTATAAATAAAAAATGTGCTTGAGGCAAAAATAAAGTTTTTTTTCTTGTATACTAAATATTTCAAACTGACCTTCAAGGGCATTACTATAATAGTATACTATAAGTTTAATAAAAAAATTTTTAGAGCATTTACCAGGCCATTTTCCATAAATTTATTACATGTATTTCCAAGAGGCATAACTCTTTTGAAAAAATTCAATCGGCCATCATTACAACTGCCAGTTGGACATCTACACCTTACAATAATTCCTTACACCAAATATAGTAAGTATAACTTATTGCTTATAATACCTCAGATATTGACTTGACCACGATAACTTTCTGACAGAGTAGACAGACACTAGCTATAGGACCTTGCAAGGTACCCACATACTAAGTAAATAGAAATATCCTATTACCAGGATAACTATAAATAATATTAATAAGAGAGAAATTAACATTACAAAAAAACTTTAACCACAGACTGAACCTATATTTTAGGACAGCGACGCCACCCCTGGCAGAATCTAGGATCACTGTCTCGCTTTCGTGAAATAAATTTGCAAGCTTGACAAAAAGCAGAACATGTATTTCAGAAATAGAAATTCTATGCAATTATTAATACTTATATGCTGTTATGGTCCTACATATTCTTGTGAGTTCAATATTTTGGCATTACACAAAGTCATGCTTTCTTAGACTGTTTGAAATGACAATTGTTTTGTTGTAACATTAATTGATTAAATCTGTCGAAGGTGAATTGATAGATATTTTAGTTTGGGAAAACATAATTTTTGCATCTTTTATTATTTTGTTATTTCTTTTTAAGTGCTTGTTGATGAGTTCAGCCCTTTCAGGCTGATTTTGACATGTGTTTCTTATGTTGGGTGCTGTCTGCCATACTGTGTCACAGTGTGTAGTTTTATTTTTTTCATTGGTTCACATTTTTTCATCCTTATACAAGTTATAGCCATAACAGGTTACTTTATGGTATGGATTTTGATCATTGTTTATGGCTGTACAGTGACAAGAAAATGTTTACATCTTCGTCCTTTGGTTTTTTAATTGATAGTTGTCACATTGAGAATAATACATGTACCTCATCTCCTTATACATGTTAAACATGTTATATTTATATGCTGGTTCATAAAAAATCTTAAAAGGAAATTATTCAATTGTTATATGTTTGAAAACTCTCTCCTATAATGCAAAAACAATGATTGATTGACTTTTCTAGCTTAATTTAAGATTCAGTGGCAAATATTTTATGTATATTCAAGACAAGAACTACTTTTAAATATACAATTCATAATATAAGCAAATGCTATAATTATTTTAACTTCTGACCATCTTATGCGTGTGTGTGTGTGGAGCAGAAGGATTCCTTGATAAAATTGAGAATGGAAATGGGGAATGTGTCAAAGAGACAACAACCCGACCATAGAGCAGACAACAGCCGAAGGCCCCCAAATTGATGCATACTTGACATCAGAAAGACAGAAATAAACAACAGTATACATGGTATACATGCTGTAACATGTACAATTACACTTGAAAAAGTTTTAAATAGATAACATTAAATTATTTAAATTAACTGCAATTCAACAGATGAACTTACTTTGATACCAGTTCTTTTTGCCTGACATCCGCACCTACATGTACATGTACACCAGTGATTATAATACTGTACTTTCCTTTCATTTGGTAACCATGGTAACAAGCTAAAATTGCAAATCTTAATTTAATCCAGAAGTCCAGACAAAAACAAGATCATTTTTGTAGATGTAGTATGAACTGATGCTCACTAATTTATATTTTTACTTTTGAGTGAATGGAAACAAATATGCAACAAACAACAAAAAGATCAACAGTGTAGCTAATATTATTAATATATGTATAGTCTAAGCCCGTCTCAGTATAGTATGAACTTTTTCTAATATAAAATGATCTATTCTGCTGTCTAGTTTAAAATAAAATGCTCCCCAGGGCGCAGCTTGATACGACCGCAGAGGTCGAACCCCAAACAGATGGGGCAAGTATTGACACAATATTCAAGCTTGATACAGCTCTGAATTTGGTTTGTGATTAAATATTTGACACAGCATACATGGCATAGGTTTCTGACACAAAATCAATGTGGTCTAAGAACTTAAAAATTTTAAATTAGACATTTACCTATTATGGTTCAATATCCTAAATCTAAATACATGGTTAGATTCAGCATATAAAAGAACCCCAAGAATTCAATTTTTTTATGAAATCAAACAAAGTTTAATTAATGGACCCTTTTGACCTCAATGTGGACCAATTTGATAACAGAGCCCAAAATCAAAAATCTAAATACACGGTTAGATTCGGCATATCAAAGAACCCCAATAATTCAATTTTTGATGAAATCAAACAAAGTTTTATTTTGGACCCTATGGACCTCAATGTGGACAAATTTAAAAACGGGGCCCAAAATCCAAAAACTTATTACATGGTTAGATTCAGCATATTAAAGAACCCCAAGAATTCAAGAATAAACCCCATTGATTTCGTCAAGAAATAAGCAATTTATACAAAGTATTAGAAAAGTATTGTTATTGGCCCCTAATTCCTAAACAGTTAGAATCACAACCCCCAAATTCAATTCCAACCTTCCTTTTTTGGTATGGAACCTTGTGGTACAATTTCAGAAAGATCCATACACTTACACACAAGTTATATTGTCTGGAAAAATGCTTATTTTGACCCCTTTTTAGGCACTTAATTCCTAAACTGTTAAGACCATAACCCCCAAAATCAATTCCAACCTTCCTTTTGTGGTTTCAAACCTTGTGTTTAAATTTCATAGACATCCATTCACTGAAACTAAAGTTATTGTCCGGAAACTAAGTGTCTTCGGACGACGCGGACAACAACGACGACGTGATACCAATATACGACTGCAATTTTTTTTTGCAGTCGTATAAAAAACAACATTAACATGATTAAGGCCTTAACTCTTGATGTTTAATAAATCTTGGTTTCCTGTTAAATAGGCAAAATTGTTTAAATACACCATTTATAGGCATGTTGTGGAATCTCAATAAATACTTATGATTGCAATGTTCGTTTAATCGTCGATGTAGCTATGAAATCTATACAATAACGTCATTCACTACAACTTAAGAATTACAACGTTACCATAGTTCAATGTTAGTACTTCGCGTATACTATTTTACGACAAGGAAATATTAACTCATGAACATAATATGTTGTCATTTGTGTTACCATCCATACTTCATGCATTTAATAAAAGAACAGCTTTTCAATGTACCTTGCCAATTGATGGATATACATGTATAAAATTTGCTATCAAAAAGCAAAAAATATGTATGTTCTTTTAACCTTTTTCATAAATTATAAATAATCTAAAAGAAATGAAGACGTGTGTTGATTGCTTGCAATGCAATTTTTCTTACAATATCTATTTCCAAGAGGCATAACTCCTGTAAACATATTTGATCAGCACTTATTTTCTAACTCATAAAAGCCTATGCTGATATATAGACCTACATGTATGGTATGAATTACAAAAATATCTGACAAAAAAATGTAACCATAACAGTGCTTTACTGGTTATCTTCCATAGAATTTATATTTCAAAGTTAAGTAATTCCTGTATAAATAATTTATCCAAGACATTACTGGTATATATAATAAACCTTTGGTATACATAAATATTACATGAATAAACAAAATATTTAAACAAAGTTATCCTTTTCATTACAATACATACCTCTCATCACAAAATAATTATTGCCTGCTGCTCCTTATATGCATATAAATCAATATGACAATCTATGAATCCATTATATAATCTAGAAAGCAATGCATCAAATGAATTCTGTTCTGTTGCTTAGATTCTTCTACTTCTTGGAGTACAAAATGTACTTTCATTGAAAATGCTAAAAGAAATAAAGTATGACATGTACAAATGTATAATAAAATGAAGTTACAATATTTATATATCTGCCAAATGTATTGCCTTAAAATTTTTTATATGACAAAATTGGCTTATTTTGATCTTTTAAAACAAGAAGTCTGAACAACAGATCTAGACTTGCCCTGAAAAAAAATTAACTATGCAAAAAGTATTAAATTATTTGAATGTTCTAATCCATCTTATGTTTATTAAATCCATATGACTTGTATGAAGTGATAAATCAAAGTGGTTAAATCTGCTTTGTACAGATCTGATGTCAGATGAGTTAAGCCTTTTCACACCACTATCCCATGTTAGGGAGCTACCATTTGATTTAGGGGGGGGGGGGGGTTAGGATGAAAAAGTTTGTCCTGCATTTCCATTTTTCCACTCTATTCAGTCCTGTCTTTTTTTTATTTATAGTTTATTCTGACTTTTGTTTTACATCAATTGTCATCCTGCCTTTTTTTTGGGCAAAGTGTCTCATCCTGCCTTTTTTTCAAATTTCATCCTAGACCCCCACACACACACACACACACACATATTAAAACAAATTATAGCTCCTTTAAGGGGAAGATTTGGCACCAATAAACTAGTCTGACTCCACCACATCCTGTATGTGCCTGTCCCAAGTCAGGAGCCTGTAATGTTCAAGTTGTTGTTTGTTCACTTTGTTGCTGTATATCATATTTGTTTATTTGTTCCTTGTTTTGTTTAGAAATCATAACATGTATCAGTCTGTTAGTTTCCTCATTTGCATTGTTTTACATTTGTCATTTTCATTAAATGTCTTTAATAGCTGACTTTGTGGTATGGGCTTTGCTCATTGTTGAAGTCATCTTGTACCATAACTTATTATAGTTGCTAACTTCTATGTCATTTGATCTCTGGTGGAGAATTGGACTCTTCTCATTGGCAATCATACATGTACATGTACCACATCTTCTTATTTTTATATTCACATTAAAGTATATGTAAAGTAAACCATTCATGCACTCTAGGGGTCCACTTCTTATAATGTACAAGGTGATAAGTCTGCCGCTGTAATAGCCTGGCTCATATTTTTCAGCTTAAAAATATGTGAATAGGTGTGGAAAACTATCAGAAGTATAATACATGTATGATAAGGCTGAGAATTACTAGATGTTTATTGTTATAGTACTCAGTAATAGTAGTCTCAGACTCAGGATAATTAAGGCTTATTGTACTTGTCATATGCAAAGCCCTGTAATTTTCTTAGTTGCAAGTCTTGTTTTGACTTAAGTTAACATAACATAAGGAATTTGAGCCTCAGATTTGAGCTTTAATCAAATGTGATGATTTTCTCTGTAATCCCAGAATGTGATTCTTGTCCGCTCCAGCATGTCCTGGAACCACTCATAATTAAAATTTGGAAAGGGTTACATGTACATTATTACCTACGCAATGTATGAAAAGGTATATATACATTTTTTAAATCTAAATTAAATGAAAGGGGGGGGGGGGGGGGGGGTAATTGATCCCTTATCTATTAATTGTAAAATAGCTACTAATTGCTAAAGAGATTATAAAGTCGTCTGCACAGTGTCGTGGTTTTAAAACAACTGATAAACAAATACAAATATCACACACCATAAGACACGATTATACAGGTCTGCATCAGTTAAAGTAATTAAGTTCTGAAGTGACATTAGATAAACAATTTCAATACATTACATCAAGTATATGATGTCCACCCCCCCCCCCCCCCCCCCCCCCCCCCCCCCCTTTTCAAAGTTTGTCTTATTGTCTAAAGGGTTTACAAATCATATTTATATTACAATATCGTTCTCAGACTCAGGTTTACAAATATCTACACGGACTATGTACAGTCAAATAGTTTTTCGTGAAAAATAAAGCACATACATATTCCTGCTTTTATCCAATAATTAAACAAAATGTGAATAATAATATTTACCTTTCGTTGTGCTTTGAGGGTACGTAAAACTATCCATCAAAACAAAAACACTTTCGCTGTTTCGTTGCGTTGACTTTCTATAAATTTTCTATGTTTCGTTCCCCGGTTTCTTCCAGTTAATCGACAAGTCACCCATTTCAATTTATCTATTTATAATAAATCTTGATTCACCAGTTTGAAAAACCAAAGTTCTTTGTATCATCTATCTCTGTCCATTCAAACTTTTTAAATGACCACAACTGTAGATCGCGTGAGCGTCCATGGATTTTGCGTCATAGTATAAAAAACGGTAACGCTGAAAAGATTTCCGGGTTTCCGTATTCGACGTACCATGCAAGCTTTCGTACATTTACGTATATATATATGATGGTCTGGAATCAAGATTGGGGTTTAAGAATATAGAAAATAATGACAAAAAGTGCAAAATAAAGAGAAAAAAAAAATAAAGAACAGATACTAAAAAAGCAGAAATATGGAATAAAGAATCATAGAGAATAATGGGATTATCATTGATAAAAAAAAAAAAAAGAATTGAGAATAAAGAACAAACTAAATAAAGAATATTTATTCATATCATTATTTAATATTTATAACTCATTCATTTATTTTAAATTATGTTCCATTCAGAATTAGATAGCTCTGCTGTGGGGGTGACATAGCCTGAGGGCTGACATGCTTTTATCATCATGATGATGTGGGATTTAGTGGGAAGAGTAGAAAGTGCACTTTCCTGTTTGAGTAATACACTATATAGATAATGAATGAAAAAATGCATGTGATAATTAAATTACAAATTTTGACATTTTCTCAAAACATTTTTTTTTAAATGCCCTTTAAAACATATGAAAACATATGAAAATCATATGTTTTTCATATGTTTACAAACATATGTAAACATATTTTTTAAAACATATGAAAACATATGTTTGCTTCCATATGTTTTCATATGTTTCAAAACATATGTAAACATATGTTTGTAAACATATGTTTTTCATATGTTTGGGACAAACATATGAAAAACATATGAAAAACATATGTTGCAATTTTTCCTGTGTACATAGAATACTTATAATTCAAAATCAAAGATGTTATTTATCCAAACTTCAAAAAGCTGATACTTCGTTGAAAGAACAGTTCTGAGCTACATTTATTCGAAGACTGATTTGCTAGTTTCTCATGTTGTGACAAGGTCTGTAGTTTGGTTTGTTACAGTTTGTTACAAGGTGTGGAGTACTGTTGTATGAACACTAATAAGTGTTTTTTTTTTAGAAGTCATACATGATTCCCGAATCAGGTCTAGTGGATGCGGTCATATTCTCTCAGAAGGGATTTTGTTTTGATAAAATTGTCTCGGACGTCCAGCTATCAATATATGAGTTAAGGATGGCTTGATATGATATCGGCAGGTTCAGTAGTCAGAGTACTTTCCGTAACTGCGCGTTTTCTGTACCACTGACTTGTTTATGTTTTGTTAACTTTAATTATTATACAAATTTTAAGTGTTCCATTTGTTATTCCACTTCCAAAGTACTAGTCCATATAAAAATCTGGCAAAATGTAATTCTTTAGCGGAAAGCCTACAAAAATTTTTTTTGTATCTTATTTGGAATATAAAATTATGTTGAAATAATTCGTGTATTGTTTTTACATGGACTTTTGTCAGATGATATATAAAGTCTTATGAATGCATTATTTAACTCATGTCAAGGAAGTTAATTCCAATGCTATCATATAGAACTTTTGTTAAATAGATGCCAAGTATCTGTCCTGGTAAGGCAGTAAATGGAAAATATCGCCCATTCCTTTTATATACACTTATATTGCAACTGATAAAAAAACCGTTTCTATTGTTATCGTTAAAGGTATCACAAATTTTTGATTTTTGCATGATTCTTAGATGACCTACTACCTAAGATTAAAAGGGCAGGGTTGAGATGTCAAACAAATTGGTATTATCCCGCTATATGCTGATGTGTTTGTTCACCCCCAGTTTTTGTTTGGGTTCGTGTTGCTTAGTCTTTAGTTTTCTATGTTGTGTCATCTGTACTATTATTTGTCTGTTTGTCTTTTTATTTTTGGCCATGGCGTTGTCAGTTTGTTTTCGATCTATGAATTTGACTGTCCCTCTGGTATCTTTCGTCCCTCTTTTTGTTCAGAGCCAGGAAACTCTTCAGTAGTTGTATTTTGTTGTTTCTTGTTCATCAATTAATGTTTTAGTAATTATGAGTTATGACAGAGCTATGGCAGTCTACTTTAAAACCATTTTATGCATAAAACGATTAAAAACTTCAAATATGTTGCATAGTATTGAAGACATGACAACATATTTGTTGATTTGTGAGGTAGACTTTTTCAACAAATTATCGGCATTACTATGAGAACAAACTGGGTGCCTCTCCTTGTCGATCTCTTCTTATCCGAGTCGGAGTTCGTTCAGAAACTTGTCAAACACAAAAAAATCAAAGAAGCCAGATCATTTAATTTCAAATTCAGATATATTGATGATGTTATTTCCATTATCAATCCAAACGTTTCTTAGTGGTTTCCATTAATATATATTTTGAAATTATAAATTTTTCCCACCTTAGCAGCAATATACCAACATCACCTGCATATGGGATATTCATTTCCCAACTGATTCCGTATTCAACAGCTTGTAGCTGCTACTCATACCTTATTAAACATCACCAGTGTCTGAACAGAAAGTTAATAAACCAGAATTATGTCAAATAACGTCTTTTTCTTTTTCTAGGCGTTGTTTTTCATCCTAAATACGTATAACAGTGCTCTTTGTATTTGGTTTTTGCATATTTTCAACCGTTACTATTTTGTCAATTGTTTGGTTATATCCTTTTGGCTCGGTATCTTAACATCATTTTTTTGTATTCTTGTCTTTCATTTTTAACTAAGGTCAATATGTGCTTTATCCACGACTCACTCCGTACTTACTGCACGAAATGGTTAAAACGGGAAATAGCTGACAAAAAATCCCTAGATACTTTTTTTTTAAATCAGTAAAGGGCATAGTTGATATTCGTATTAAACATTTAAAAGAACATTTTTCCTCCTATCAACAACCACACTAGCCCTATTTCTCGTTTCAAACATAAGCTAAAAGAACTCACCAAGGAATTTGTTTTTGTCCCGGCAGATAAGGCTGCCAATAGTATCATTATTGTTTGACGTTAATTTTACATTGATATTTTGCATAAGGAAATCACGAATTCACAAGGATTCCATTCGGAAAATAACATCTGTAACAAACATAAACTTTTAACTACCTCTTTACAAGCAGAACCAAATACAATGAAAGTTCCAACTATGTACTGGCTTCCGAAGCTGCACATAACAGTTAACAAATATAGATTTATTTAGTCTTCAAGCCATTGTTCCACTACTAAACTGTCTATTCTACTTAATAGTACACTTGGTACAATCAAAAACCTTTTAATAAATTGTTCAAATAAGGCCTTTGAAAACAGTGAAATTAATTACTTTTCGAGTGTCAAAAATTCGTTTGAAGAACTTGATAAACTCCATGCTGATATGGCGATTTCGAATCTGTTCAAAGTTTTGATTTGTTGACCCTATAAACCACTCTGCCTCATAATCTTATTGCGAAAAAAAAACACACAACTAATTAAATGTTTTTTCGTATTAACAAGCAAAACTGGACCTGCTTTGAAACGATAACTGCACTTGAATTTTTTCTAAATAACATTTTTGTTTGTTATGGAGATTCCGTATATCGTCAAGTTATCGGAATTCCAATTAGGACTTACTGTGCACCACTTATTGCGGACCTGTATCTATATTGTTACGAGTTACAATTTATGACTGAAATCAGCAAAGACCAATGAAATCAACATCTGATACAAAAATTTAATAACACTTTTAGATATTTGGATGAGATATTGGCTCTCAATAATGACGATTTCAATATGTACACTAAAGAGATTTATCCTGCTGAACTGACTTTAAATAAAGCTAATACTAACAATGAACAATGCCCTTTCCTGGATCTTTATATCTCTATCTTTAACGGGAAGCGTAATATTAAAATTTACGATAAAACAGATGATTTTTCATTCCCTATTGTTAATTATTCATTTTTAGATGGTGACGTTCTCTTGTCACCATCTTATGGTGTTTATATATCTCAACTTTTTCGAATCGCTCGTGTATGTAACAACGTAATGGATTTTAACGAAAGAAATGTCTGTATTACTGAAAAATTACACCATGGTCTTCGAAATCACAAACTTGTAAAAACATTAACTAAATTTTATCATCGGTACAAGGACGTCATTCGTAAATATAAATCAACATGCAGACATCTTATACGTACAGGTATTTCACATCCAATCTGATATGGTAATATCTATACAAAGCACAAAAATGTCGTCATTCACCTCAAAAGTTAACCAAACCTTCAAACAGACTTACTCAGAAGGAATATAGTTACGATACTGTTGTCAGGTCATTAAAGATGGCATTTTTTGGTATAAATATTGATTCACTCAAAGGGTTTTGAATCGGAAATAAACACATTTATTCTAAAACCAGTTGTTGGCATGATACTGGTTATGTTCTTCTCATATATTTTATGATAGGATGATACTAAACCCCTAACGGGCGGGATTGTGCTTGATTTTCATATGATGAACACATAATCTTTCAATCAATTTAAATGAGGTCTGGAGCTGGCATGTCAGTAACTGCTAGTAGTCCTTTGTTAATTTATGTATCATTGTCATTTTGCTTAATTTCTTCATTTACCTATT